TTGTTTGTACGTGCCTCTTTCCCCCAGCCGGCCTCCTTCACTGCTAATGGGAAAAAGGGTTTTGTTAACGGCCTTGTCGACGGTTTTTCTCAGTTTTTCCCCACCGTCGTTCTAATTCGCATCTCTATACTCAGTTTCAATCGCCATAATACCCCCTTACTGAGCCCGACTTTTGCCTTTAAAGGATTTCCACCACGTAGAACAACATTAGTCCTTCGATTTCACTAGCCTGCGCAAGAATAGATTCGGGATTTGACCGCGGGACGTTGGTGTGGCAGTGGTTTTGTCTCCACCTCGCACACTAAAACTATACTCTATGAAACTGGATGTGCGGAGGAAGAGGGGTCGTAAAGACGCGACCATTTCTTCGACACAATTCTCACCCTTCATCGCAGTATACTTCCTCGAAGAATACTAACATTGTGACCAGTCCTGCCTTCCACTCCTTCCTATGTTTGAGAGACCGTTATGCTAGGTTGAAAATTGTGCTGAGAGGATTGTATCCTACTGATCGATTTGAATAAACACATCTTATCCTCTAATTTTCTAGTCTCCCATGGCACTTGCCTAATTTTCAAAATCGTGTAGGACGATGCGGCTAATAATAAGGTGTGCTTTGAATTGAAGTTGGATTTTATGTGGAAAGATAGCTCATTGGAAGATAGACGTGGTCAATGAAACAGGGATGAAGAAGAAATCGTGCGAAATTGCCCAGAATCCGCGAAATGGATCCCCTTCTCTGCCCTCTGATTTCTGCATTGATATCGCATCGCTGTGCCCTCTTGAGCGCAACGTTCTCTCTGCTACTAATCACTCGCCACGTATAGACCTGCGGCGACTGGTTATATACTAGATGGTGAGCGCTACAGGCCTATTGCGCCAAAGGGAGGGCCATGTTAGATCGCCGAGGACATATCTTTCGATGCGAATGGCATGGTGATTCGCACCCTCAGAAGGTCTGCCTGTCGCTCCACGTCCCCTTCTTTGAGCTACCTTCTCATCTCGGAAATATACTTTACGACGAAGCTTCAGAGACCGGCCTCAGCTGTGGCTCTCGACCAGTTTCGAGAATTTCACAAATCCTCCGCAGTCCCCCCTGTAGTAGTCATGTGTTTGAATGTGTTTTTCCTGTTTTTTTTTCCTTAAAACCAGTAAGTGCTCATTTGCTGCGTCATGGCTCTGGCATTTTAGCCTTGCCATTTCTCGTGTGCACGGGAAAAGAGGAACTTGTGAATTGACCTTCCTAAAACGAGCGTAGCTCCATCCAAAATTGATTCTTTATGGAGCTTCGAGCAGATTTGGGATCTACATGACCTGCGCTTTTAGAGTTCTTCCATGTTTTCCTCAGAGGATCTGAATTCTCCTGCTATTAGTTGTCAAACTGAGAACATGCGCACTGTATGCTTTTAGCTTTTTTGGCTCTATCTTTCCTAACATGTAAGATGCGAGCTCGAGAGTTTGGTGAGGATGATGAGATAAACTCAGCTGCTTCGTCTTTAACGAACAGCTAAACTTTTCTGAACTTCACCTATCCGATACACTCTGCATCTGGATCTTTTTCGCACAAACGTGGGTTTTCTAGCTAATACAACATAACTCTACCTACCATTAATGGTCAATTGTTCGGGTCATATAAAGTGAAGTGTAGTCCGATGTTTGCGTCTTGCGACGTTGAACGTAAAGCTGGTTTCGATTTCTGCGAAACGATTCCCGAAAAAAGTTATGAAGAAATCTTCTCGTTATGGCGTCCTCTTCATTCCCTCGAATGGGACAATAAAAGACTGAGAGCAGCTGTGTCAGCGGTCCTGGCGGTGTAATGGATAGCTGTCTTACTTCATTCAGATGAGGAAAGTCATGTGTTCGATTTCTTGGCTAAAGTTTTGCTTTTTTCCTCAGTACTACTCGAACGAGCCCAGAAACTGCTTATACTATTTGTTTTTGTTATTGCTGCTTAGCTGCTGTGTTCGGCAGTGGCTCGCCTAGCAATATTTTACAAGAGAAGTGGGTTATGAGCAAAACTCTCCTCCCGGGTTTTTCGTTTAACGGGTGAATGCGCTAGTAAAGCTATGGTACCTGGGCAAGATAGGAGAGAGCGCACTCACTCAACCTGCGATGCGCCGATGGTTTGCTTCGTAAGAGCCGGCTTTTTTATTTTAAAAAGTTCATTCCAACCATCCCGTGCCAGCAATCTCTATGCCCCTTCCAAACGATGACAAAATATGTAGAAGACAAACCATTATGTATGAGGGCGCTCATGGTGCAACAAGATGAGGTTATTGAGAGATTTCCGAAAGGTTTGGAAAGCTGGAGGTTGTTTCTCACATGCTCCGAGAGGGAATCAGCTCCAAAGACCATCCGGCATTATCATCCTGTAGGTTTTCTATGGTTCCTTGACGGTCTTCCATGTTTATCGTTGATGGGAAGGGGATGCCGTGTGCTAAAAAATCTGCTAAAAAAAGAAAAATGGCAAAAGCCAACCTCAAACGATAAGTACATTCTGACAGTGAAAGCCTGACTTCCTCCAAGTTGAGAAGTTGCAGAACAGAGAGTCCAGAACTCAAAGTGGTGTTGCTTACATGTATTGTCTAGAAGAATTACAAAAAAAATCAGGAAAAGGAGCGCATTATTGAAAAAACTGGTTAGCAAGTTTTTGAGGCGCGCGCTCGTAAGAATGCCCCGTCCGGTTTGCTCTGACTCGCGTCATGCTGTTTTCAATGTGTTAAAATTGGAAATGATCATCTTACGCATAAATAGTGGGGAGACTTTGTAGAATTTTTGACTATAAACTGTATTTTTGTGGCTTTCCTTCGAATGCGCTGAAAAGAATTGCTGTAGTTGGCTATTCACAAACATGATCGACTCGGCGGAGTTTTTCTAGTTCGCATTTGCTTCGTCTTAAATTTTAAAGTGAAGAAGTTTCAGTAAATGCTACCTTGAAATTCGACATCGAACTGTTGAAGATAGATCGTAAGGAAGAGCTGTAAGGTGTTTATCTCAATGCAAATGCAATTTTAGTGATTGTAATGTAACCTTGTAATGTGGAGATCCTATAATTTATGACTTATTTATTGAATTCTTTCAAAGCGGTGTCACATCACTTCTTCTCTGCAGTTATTCATTCGCTAATCCAAAATCTTCTCCACAGTTCTGTGAGTTGAATGAGATATTGAAAAATGATATTGTTGAATGTTTTGCGCTATTATTTCCTGTTCTTTCTATCGTCTGTGCTTTACCTCCACTGAATGGAGATAAATCGATTCATACGCCTGGTGTTTGTCAGTGAGCTATACATGTGTTACATTAATTACAGCGGTACACCTTTTTTTCTGAGAGCTGTCAGTGGTGATGTCGGTGAGCGATGCTCCTTCGGATGCTGAGTTTTTACCAATTTGATTAAGTCGATCTGCTCAGGAATACAACTATGCTTTTAGCGCTTTCTGTCTGATAGCGTTGTCTAATATCACAAGTTGCCAATCGTCTGATCCGATGTTCACCTGCCGTCCCATTGATCTTCGACCAGTATCGTCTCTATTTGTCCCTGTCGCGTGCTAGAGTGATCCAGTGAATCCTAGCTATAATCCGATGTCATTCAGCTCGATTTGTTATCGCTAACGAAACTGAAGAATACGTTCTCCATTGCTAAGCTACATTGTCAGTCAGAGCTTTGCAGTCGAGTGAAAGGTTGTGTGTCATTATGCCCAACCCTACATTGCTGTAAGGGAAAGTCATCAGTCATCACTTCAGTCAGGGGTGGAAAGTGTTGAGCTTCATGCCCAATAGTCTACTCAGTATTATTTATTCGTATATACCTAGTTTGACGCAACTGTCGCAGCCTCCAGTTCAGACGAATAAAGCTTTCCTAGCGTGCTCTTCACCATTTTATAATCACTCCGTGCTGCTATATCAATGGTACGTAAGCTGTATTACAATGCCTACGGGTACACTTTGATAAAGGTTTTTACATGCACATCTGACCTATGCGGTATCAAAAATAAGGCCGCAGAGAAACAGAACGCGCTCTCGCTCTCTGGTTTCTGATCAAGTCACACTGCAATAGCAGTTCGTCGCGAAGATCCCTTCTTATTATAAAAAGGTATACATATTCCCAGAGCATAAAGTGTCGTAAATGTCTTTCATTACCCTTTCCTGCGATCTAGCTAAAATCGTGGCGACACTTCCACAATAATTCGGATACTACCATTAACTAGTCAATGGACCGTGAATATTGATTCTGGGGCCAGTCTCGCTATTTAGGTGATCCAAAGTCAAGAAATTATCGACCACCTGGTGGCAGGCTTCTACTCTATACAACGATTTAGTCTGAGGAATCTACTGAAACGACAATGGATGTTGGGAAAGGAATGGAGTAATGCTTAATTGGAATCCAGAGCTTTTTCGGGAATTCAAAAAAGAGGGTTCAGGATTTTGGAAACTTCCACAAAATCCGAAAAATGCGTGGTAATTCACAAGAATTTGAGTTTCTGTGGAGCGAAGGGTACATAGTTCCAGTTCATTTCATGGAAAGAACCGCCGGGTACAATACAATTTTACATTAATAATCCAACCGCCTCGCCAGCAGGCACTTGGCCATAGAGGTCGATTCGTACGAAAGTCTAACGATCCGAGTCGGACGTTCGAGATTGAGAGGATAAGGTTCAACTCCTACTTTGACAATCTTCGTCGCCTACGCACCAGCATCCAGCTACGAAGAGAAGAACACGAAGCATTTTATATGGAATTGCAGAAGTTCTACAGGGAAGATCATGCCTTCTTTAAGGTCGCCATCGGCAACTTCAACACTAAGATTGGCCCAAAGAACGGCTGAAGAACTTCAGATAGGTACTCACCGAGTGGACTGGGATGGACAGAGTGAAAGGCTGTCGGAGCTGATCATGTCGACCAACACCATCCATGGTAAGTCACAATTTCGAAAGCCCTCCCACCTTCGCTGGACTTGGTAGTCAACTGGTGAACAGTCCCTAACGAGATAGGCTACATCATCTTCAATCGAAGATTTTGCCTGACCGAGGTCGTTGTTGTTCCGCACTCCTATGCGGGATTGGACCGTCGTCTCCTCTGTTCCACTTTCGATGCGTGTTGAGAGAGCCTCAAAGTTTATAGATAGTCATCAACTGGGATCACTTGACTTCTCTTGTAAACTCATGGAAGGATTCCATTATGGAAAGCATCGACGAGGAGTACTATTGGACCGTTGAACATCTTCACGAGAGTGCCAGGAAGGCAGAATGTACAAAAGTCACCAAGGGGCATTTGTCTCCGGGAACTCTCGAACTGATACGCCAACGTGGAGCCGCACGAACTGCAGGCCAGCACCCGTCCGAGCTTGCGAAGCTATGCAGAGAGGCGATAAAAGAAGATCTCAAGGAGCGAAGATCAGCATTCCAACGCACTCGAAAGGTGCATGCTTGGCAACAATCCTGTACATGCAATTCACAGGAGAAACCGATGTTCCGAAACTACACCAATACTTGCGCGCGCTCCCGATCCTAGTCAAGGAATCGAAGATGAGGTGTTCCGGATAGGTCATTCGATTTTGTGATGACCGTTGGACCAGAGCGGTTACTCACTGGACCTCTCGGGACGTCAAACGAACAACTGGACGACTACTAGCTCGGCTCGCTTTTCCGCGGAAGCTCTGAACGAAATTAATGAAGCAATGCGTGTCTCTCGAGCGAGGAGGGCCCATTGTACCACTCTAGCACGCGACATGGACGAATGGAGAAATTGCTGGCGCCCGACTGACCAAATTGCGGGCGGAAATGAAGTGCGGAGAAGTAGCACTACGTATCGCGTGAGCGATTCGTCAATGAAATCCCGAATCGTACGCCGTTCAGGGAACCCAAGCCTTTCATCCCTCTACAATCGTTTATTCTGAGTAAACTTGTCCAGGAGGGCCTAAACACTGGCTTTTAGATCGATTAGCCCCATAAATCATCGCATAGGCCAAAACGCATTCACTACGCATACCACTATGGTTCTGAATGGAAATAGAACGCGTGGCGCATCCAGAAAAGGGATTGATAGACGCCAAATACCTTTTCTTGATAAGCTTCGAATGTTGTTGGGAAGCAGCACAGCTTTCCGAACTGCGACACATGCAAAACACAACGCTCAACAATTTTCACCCTTAAAACATTCAGAGTTTCCTGTTACCGCACCCTAAGTTGGGCATAATGATATACAACTTTCACTAGAATTTGATTAAAGATCTTTAACCACCGAAATACGGTAGTAAAACAATGGGGCAGGTGCCTTTCACTTTCGTTAGCGTTGACAGTGTTAAAATAAACAAAATAGTTCAACAATGGGGCTAATGCCCTTCATTTTCCATGGTGTTGACAGAGTGAGCTGGACAACGCAAATTGTGACATCAAACATCCTTCAAATTAGGACACGCCGAAACTTTGATATATAGGGTTGCCATAATTCCCGGCTGATTTTTATAAATTCAATCTTTCTCCGCCAACAGGAACAATGACTATGCAAAATCCGTGACAATTATGAATGATTATGCTTCAAAACCAGGGTCAGCCGTCCGTCAAAGATCAACAAGCCGTTAAAGATCAACGAGGTGATAGATTCGTCCAGTGGTAGGGATAACCTTCTTCACCAAATATCAAACAAAAGTGAATACCCCTCAAATGGACGCTGTTGCAAGGAACACGATAGAAAGGATCAGCGCTCTGTTTGACTCACTGTCTGTTCGGGCACCGAGCTATTACATAGTCCAATCGCAACGGCAAAGACGATACGAGCTGTGAAGGCCAACCTCATGCTGGGCCTACACTCACTTTTGATGATGACTCCTTACGTTATATTAGGTTGGTCAATAAGAAATGTCGTTTTTGGTCACCAGTAAAATTCATTGTGAAAATAAAAACAAAGCACATAAACCTAAACTGTGCCACCCACCTTAACAAAGGATTCTCTCCCTTCTCTGTACAAGAACTGGATATTTTCTTTGAAGAACTGTCTCGAGTGCGACTCACAGAAGTTGGACACCAAAATTTTGGTATCGTCGAAGTTTCTGAACTTATTCTTGACCAGTGTGTGCAGTGATTGCCGGCGTATTTGGTAATCTGAAGCCACCAAGTCTGCTCTATTAGCACACGGAGCAGATCTTCCATCCCTGTTCTCCGATTTCTTTTTGGAAAATTTCCATGGGGTTCAGAGCTTTTGTGCATCATTTCATATCGAACTGGTGTTCGTTTGGTCCAAGCGGCGACCTGCTATAGAATTCATCAGTAACTGCCTAACACACAATCAACACTTCATGCTACACAAATTCCGTATTGTCCTGCAATACAAAAACACGACCTTCTGTTCCGTGGATGAATAATTTTGAAGTCGGTCTCAGCTGTCCATGTGCTACCAACCACGGTCGTCTTTCCTTGTGCTATCGTGGGACATCTCTTTCTCAAGCGGCTCTACAACGAAGACTAAAACTCGTTTTTCGTGGAGATTAATTATGGCCGAAACTGAGTTTAGAAGTCGTTCTACCGCTTGATACGGCAATCAACCTAGCTGATTTCACACGTTATGCCAGCCACGCACCACTTCCGGAGGTGGGCGGTCGGAGCGCCTCTAAGCGGCGAAAGCGCTTAATACTTGCTCTGGAGCCTTATTACGGCGCCGTTCGGGATTCTGAGCATGGTAACGTCTCTGTGGGTGCCTAGCCATGCACAAAGACGACGAAAGGGATTAGTTTGGTCCACTGAGCCTAACTCGTGCCTTTAAGGAGATTCCGAACGCATTTTCAGCACAAATTGGCCTTTGTCCAAGCGGGAAGCTTTCAAGTTTTGGTGTTGACGCACTGAAACCTTCACCCGAGTAATTGTGTAGTTTGGCAATCTCGATTCAACGGCCTTCTTCAACTCTTTGTTATCAACAGCTCAGGTCCGTATGCATGCTCCTCCTCCTCGCGACATTCACCTCAGTATTGGAAATGACGAAACTGTGG